AGAAAATGATATTAAAAACTAGTTATGCAAAAGAATTATTGCCTTTAAATTATATATATAGATATATACGTATATATATCTAAATATGAACCCATACTTTGAATTTCACAGTACTTAAATGCGCTCAGTTTTCAAGCCTAATTAGATTGTTTTTCTTTTTACCAATTTTGTTATTTTTTTGAGCACAATATTGATTTAAACGTCATTTTTTCGAGCTTGGAAACTTTATCAAAAGATTCTTTAATTGGACAATTAAGTGAAGTTAATTCAGATTCCTTTTCTTTTTTGGTCTCGATTTGCGTCCTAATGCTATCATCTATATAGTTATTGCAAATAACCTTGTACGACCTTATGGAAATATACAAAAATATTGTTTTTATTCTTTTATTGCTATCTTAATAATTGGTGTTCGATTAAAGTCGAACCGCGACCTCGTGTAGCTTTAATGATAGCGATCGCTCAAAACATAATCAGCTTGTTAAATAATCATACGCCATGTGGCCCTCTCTCGTACCCCAAAGCCCCGCAAGCCGTAAGCTGTGCGGTTGATTCGTTTAAGCAAAATTGTCAAAAGGCATTGCGCCTTTTGTCTGCTAGATAACAGGCGACAATACACACACACACACACACACACACACACACACACACACACACACACACACACACACACACACCTGCACACAAGAGACAGCTCACAAATGCAAAAGCAGTTAAGTGCATTAGCTTTTGTTTTTGTTTTAGTTGTTGTTGTTGTTGTCGCGTGTTTTAGTTTGCTTTACCAACAATTAAATCTAAGTGCTGACTGACTATTGTTTTTACCTCAAAGTTTTGACTTTGACAGCAAACTGTTCGCTGATTGCCATTTAAAAAACACAAGAAAACCTAAAAAGTGTGCTCCAGTCGGGTATGCTCAATTAGGAGATACCCTAAGCCCATCGCTAAGGTTACAAGCATTCAAGCTTCCTTCTATACATACACGAAATACACGCAACAGTTTTGATTGGCTTACAACTAACTCATTAAATATACAATTTTGAAAAACAAAAATGTATTTAATATTTAAATCTAATATTTAATACTTATTTATAAAAGGAAGAGCTTATTTTCCAATTTGCCAATTATATATTAAATATTATTAATTGCAAATCCCTTAAGATTTCTTTCTATGGATAACATAAGATTTTTGTCATTTACAAATCCTTGTTGGTAAGAGGTATTTTATCTCATTTTGAAAGTTCAATTACAGCGATTCTAGCCAAATCTTGTATACCAAAGGTGGTTGCCATGTCTACAATATCCCCTTGAACTTAACTGAGCTCTCCAAGCTCTTTCTTCAAATTTCGATGGACCTTTAAGAACCTGTCTGCTAATTTTATGTATTACGTATATAATAATTGGCAGGGTATAACAAGTTGCTTTGACTCGAGTAGAAGATTTCGTTCAAGAGTGTCTATCATATGACCTTCAGGAAATAACATGTTTATATACATACATACATATATATATATCTACCGCAAAACTATCGTTATCACTTTTGATCGAAGCTATCGAAAAGTCAATCGATAAATATTATTAAAGCAATATCTTATTAAAGTTTGGGCTTCTTTCCGCAATTGGCTACGTTTGCAAAACATTGTTATACCCAATTTAAGCCCATTTGCTCAGAGGGTATTAACTGGCATAGAATAAACCTAATTTGTTGAATGTCCTTTTTTTGTAAAATTCCGTCAACCTGAATAACGTTCGCGCTGCCCGTGGGTAATGGGAAATGAGAAATGGCCAGGACACGGCAACGAGGCGTATGCGAAACACGCGCTATACTGCTTTCGTCTGAGTTGGCGCTCTTAATGAAATGCAGCTAATTAGTTCTTTATTGTTTGTCTCCGTTTCTGTTGATTTAAGAATATATCATTTTCATTTTAAATTCAAACATATCAAATTGCACGCAATTTTGCACGGCTCTTTTAATAATATTAAATTAATTGTTTTATTTGGTCAAAAACTAAAAAAAAAGATAAACAGTTTAATTGAAATGTCAAAGGAAATATATTGTGATTGTAACTCGAGAGACTTGTGGTATTATTATTTTTACAAACAATGTAGTTTGTCTTTCATTTACGCAAGAGCCACGCAAAGTCGGTTAATTAATTCATGCAATTTTACTCCTCAAAGGAGTGAGAGAGAGACAATTTATTATATATATTAATGTCTTTATTTTTCTGCGCAATTAATTATTTTATTAAAATATTTATGAATAGAATTATTTAAAAATATTTTAGGTTAAAGTTTTAAATTATAAATCTGGTGGAAAATGTAAGATATTCTAACTATGCGATTTCCTTTTGTTAATTGCAGGAAGCGTCGTTTTCCCAAATTTAACTATGAGCACAGCAAATTTCAAGGATGCTGCGGCTAAAATTCTTTAATTTTCTCATATCATACGCCGCGCTTCTATTGCTGCCCAGCCATGCGGCTGAAATGGTGGCGAGCAGGAATGAAAGCGCCGCCTTATCAATGCCTGCAATGCCAACCCCATTGACTACCATCGCAGATCAGGCAATGCCTGGGGCTCAACTTAAAGGCCCAACTATGCAAACAAATTTAGTCAGCAGCAGCAACAACAACAACAACAACAACTACAACAACTTTGACAACAACAGTAAAACAAGTAACAATAAAACAGAGTTAGGCTCCGCAGAGGAATTGAACAGGAACAAATTATATGTAAGTACTTCTCAGATATTTCAGAGGAAATATCAATTTTCCTTCCTTGGTCGCCTTAAAGCCGATTACCTACGTACTGAAAATCTCTTTATTGACCAACAGCAGGGCATTCCCAATTGGTAGAGTCTTAGTGACGAATTAAGGGGGGGGGTATGTTTAATACATATAAAGTACAAAGACTGAGAGTACTGGGAGAAATACGAGGAAAACATTGATTAACATTTTTTTTTTTTTTATTCATTTTGCTAGATAGAGGGGCACGCCGAAGACCAAATTCTCTTGTGAACATATCGTTTAGAAATTCGATTATACGAAAGCTTTCTTTCTCTTCGATAGTTCTTATAAAATCCAGATAATATGATAATAGTAGTTAGATTTGATACGGTCTGCAGCTATGTTAGAAGAAACTTGAAATTAAGAAAGGGGGAGTTACTCTCATCTCTGAGATCACAGAGAGGTATATAATGTGGACATGGCCTGATCGTATTAACTCATCTTCGTGATCAAGAATATAAATCTGTTACATAAATTTCAAAAAGCTCATTGTACCCTCTTTTAAGCATTTTTAATGGGTATTGTTAAAAAAATTATAAAATATTCGACTGACAAATGTAGATTTCATCTGATGGGCTTTACAATTCTTGTAGAGTTTATTATTCTTTTGTCATGAAAACGCACAGAAGGACACGTGTGTGAGCTTATAAAGATATATATATATATATATGTATATATATATATAGAATTATTCTTGATGGGTATCAACAACCGATTAAATCAAATCCATTAAATCCATGTAAGCTAGTCTCACAGTCTTAAAGCTATCGACTCGATCCTTTGCACAGGTCCGTTTGTCTGTTGCAGAATCGGAGGACTATATTACAAAGCTGCTATAGGAACGATTGGTCTTAAATTTAGCTATATAAGAAACAAATTTGTTTTTACAAGCCATCCCTTCGAAACCTGGCAATTAAGAGCTTCATTATGCTCAATTCATATGAGAAACATCTCGAAATAGTTCTAAATGAAGAATCGGTCGAAAAGTGAGTTTTTTGTAATGAAAGCTTTTCTGGTTTTCAAAATATCTTAATCAAAGTCAGGAATTGCAAGCTTGTCGCCTAGCATATCTGCAGAAACCATATCAAGTCGGTGTACCATATCAAAGGACTTTCAATAATAAGAAATAATTCGTCGGAAAGAAAGCTTTCATATAAAATCATTTTAAACCAAATGTCTACAAGGAAATTTAATTTTCGACGTGCCGAAGATGGACTTTTTCACCCTGAATGTGGTGCAAAAGAGCTGCAAATAAGCTTCTAGGAAAACATTCCAATTAAAACCACAATGTTGGGGATGCAAGAGTGAAAGTTATCCTGCAGCAATCGTTTTAAGCTCTGTAAACAAATACATACATATTATATATAGTTTTTTACTAATCATTTGCGAAATTCAGCTAAGTCCATCTAAAGGCGAGATCACGGAGCTGACGGCAAATGTTACGTTGTTCATGCAGAAAATACCTCGCCTGCAGGTGCACTGGGAGGACAACCTGCCCAACGGTGAGTAGCAGTGTTTATAGCCAAGAAAACGGATAATAAGAGCTTTGGCATCCCAACAGGCACCACATACAATGTGCTGGTGAGCGCTGTGAATAGCACTCGCTGCCCGGACGCGCCCTGCAGCGAGTACACCATCAAACAGAAGCCCAGCAAGCACATCTATCTGCCGCAGAGTCCCAATCCGAATGTCGAGTCTGTCGACTGCAACTACATGTTTGGCTGTCAATACAATGTTACCGTGGAAACGTCAAATCTCCTCGTCCGTCGCTCTATGCGCGTTTTCATACCACGTAGGTGGCGGTGGCCTTGGCTCATCTCTGTTGAAATTTGCCGTTTTATACTCTTCGTTTCGCTTGCAGATTGTGTTGCCGGCAAGTGCTCCTGTCAGCTATCACCGACACCGCCCAAAGTGCTGGCCGTGGCCAAGATGCAGGCGAACGATACCATTGGCATCAGCTTCACCATACTGGCCAGCGAGCAGCTGCGCAAGGAGCAGGAGCATCATCTGCATGAGGCCCTCCAGGCATACAGGATGCAATTAAAGTGAGTTTCCTTTGAATACCCTATTGCCTATTGTCGCATGTATCGAATGTCAAGAAAGCCTGCAAGCAAGTAAAGCTATTTGCCGGATTCTTAATAAAAAAAAACCGCATTGCAGACATACAACCTACATATGACATATTTAGCTGGGCTGTAAGCCCGAAAATTTGCGGCGGTTCGCTTCACCTGCCTTTAGGTTCGTTTCGGTTCTTGAACTTGTTTTTATCCCACAAAAATTTGTAACCATTTTCAAAGAAAAATATGTTTCTGCTCAGGATTTCAGTTACTCTGATTTTTGAGCAAAAAAAATGAAGAAATTTTCATAAGTTCAATTCACAGTTCCTGCCTTTGGGTTGGAATCATCAACTTTTTTTGTTGCTCAAAAAAATTGTATTTCACGCAAACCATTTTTGAAGAAAAAAGTGGTTTGCTTCAGAATTTGGTTTACCTTTCTTTAGGACAAAGTTCGGCTCAAGGCAAAAAAAAAAGGAAAATTCGCGTACAAGCCGGTTCTTTTGACTTCGGACTTAAAAAATTATCGAATCTTTGAAATATCGATATCAATACTCTGATTTTTTTATGACAATATTATAATACCCCCTTCAAGGGAATAAGAAGTCTAGAAGGAAAATCAATAGCCTGAAAGTTGTTGCGATATGAAAAATAATTCTACTTTGATGGATAAAAGTACAAAAAATTATTTGGACTTGAAAATTGACTGACAAATGGTAAAACAAATTTTAAGTTAAGAAATCGATTAAAATATTTATCGGAAATTGCTTCATGCCAGAATATCTAAATGGGGAATAGGTGATATATACGAAAGTTAGGTATTACCAAATATGTATCAACATTTAGGTGCTGAGAAAATCATGACTAAATTTTATAAAGTTAGCCAGGTTACGTGGGTTTTTCACAGTTACGAAATTTCGCTGCAGCGTTGCTTAATGAAGCGCATTGTACAACTATCTAATTGCTTCTCGCTTCGTTAGTTGCGGCCAATTCTAAGAAACTTTACACATTCGCTGCAGAATCAACGAGGAGAGCAATCCCTCGCTGCCTTGGGGCGGTGTTCTGAAGAATCTATTCAGTCGGATTTATAATCTCAGCGAATTGCACTTTCGGCCCACAGCCAAGGGCTTTGATGGCAACATGAAGCTCAACTTGGGCACACAACTGAAGGAGAAGTCCTCCCTCAATCTGCAGGCGATGATAATTGACCCCACCGGCTGTGAGGGGCCGCGCAGCGTTACCAAAGTGCCAGGTAAGCCAAAGAGCTGAGTGAATGTTTGCAAAATACTCGGGAATGTCAAGTCTCATTAATTGTTTTACCCAGTTCCCGCCAGTCCCCTGTTGCTGAACAACAATGTCAATTTGGTGGGTATACGAATATTTCTTTAGCTCCTCTAATATGGCTATATTAATATAATAAATTCAACTGCAGAATAATTCGCTCATTGTCATGACCACATTACTCATAGCCGTCATATTAGCTGGCTTATTGACAATCCTGTTGCGTCGTCGTCGCCGGGCCCGGGCCAAGGAGCAACAGCAGAAGAATCAAATTTACATGCAATCCTTTGCGGCAGCACCCGTCGCGTGAGTTAAAATCCAATTATTTGGCTGCAGTAGTAGTTGCAGCTATTGTTTGCCGCATTGAACATCTGATTTTCATTTTACCAGAATGGAGGACAACATCAACTACGTGGACAAATATGTCGAGGTAAATAAAATTTTATCTTCTCGCACAAAAATACTTCTCATTTAATATGGACAAATGAAAGGCTTAACTCAACTTCCAGTCATAAATTTGTTGACAGTATAAAAACAGTTGCAAATAAGTATTAATAAGGCAGAATAAATTACTGCAAATATTTGTATATTAATTCTCATGAATATAATTGGCCTAATTAATTTAATGTGGTAAATTATACCACTTAAGCCGAACAATTCTAAGAGATTTGGCCGCTTAAAAGCCATGAGTGGGGTATTAAAATATCATAACTTCTTACCTGCTGCGGGTAGTTACGTACCCGTTCTCCAACTTGAAGTTCGTTATTATTTTAAATTGGACCGAAAAAATGCCATCAAATGCAACACAATAGTCCGAAAATTAATTTCTGTAAATAAAAATAAAGATATAAGAAAATGTTGAAAATATTATGTTTTAAATATGTTGATTTAAATAGAGCAAAAGTTTTCTACAAATTCCAGATTTAAAAGCACACAAAACTTATAAAAAAATCCTTTTGGTTCTAATTTCATCTCTCATTTCTAAACATTCCAATAACCATATTAACTGTGATATGTTTTATGTTATTTAAAAGTAGACATTCAAATATAAATATGTAACCAATTAGGAATCTTAAATTTAAACAACTGTCCGATAGTTTATAAATATTTAGGAATAAAAAAAAAGCTCATATAGAGAATACAAATGGCAAGTCGCTCAAGAGTTGAATTGCGCTTTTGATAGATAAATTGAACTCTAATTATAATTAATTATTTCCCCTCTTAAAAACCCCCCAAAAATTTCCGCACTTCCACAGCAGTCGCAAGCTCTGGGCCTGGCGGACATATTTGAGGTGCCGCATTCGGCGATTCACATTGGACGAATGCTGGGCGAAGGGGCATTTGGCCGGGTGCACGAGGCAACTGCCATCAATATGCGGCGCATGCGGGGCACAACGATTGTCGCCGTGAAACAGCTGAAGGGTATGCCAATTAATTAAATGTAATTAATGCATAATTGTAATGTTGCATGGAATTTAGCCAATCCGTCGGCGGATGAGGTAGCCGAGTTTCTCTCGGAAATTGAAATGCTGAAGGGCGTCGGCACGCACCACAATGTGGTCTGCTTTCTGGGCTGTTGCACTATTCGAGCACCCTATCTGATGATCATGGAGTATGTGGGACGGGGCAATCTGGTATGTATTGCGCCTCAGTGCGGTTGGCCAGGCAAACGAAACTATTTTTCGTCTCTGTTCAGCTGAGTTACTTGCGTATGGTGCGTCAGGAATTGGGAGAGCCAAAGGCACGGAATGCCAACCACCCGACTGGCAGACTGCTGACGGCCAACTCCAGAAGTGCATCTTTACCACGACCGCAGAGTGTTAATTACATTGAATTGAAGGCCTCCAATCAGAGCAATGAATTGGAGTCGTCCGCCTCCACGAACAACTCAAGCTCGCAGCATGCCACATCGAATGGTGTCGGCGCCAGATTGCAGAAGCCCTCGTTTGCTGAAAGTAAGTTGACACATGAAACACGCCAGCTTATAACGATTTAATTTTTCCTTTTCCCGTGCTATGTTCCTTTTCGTTAAAGCTACTTATACCATTGTGGACGATGAGGAATCATTTGAGTACATACTTGACAACAAGGAGCTGCACAATTTCGCGCTGCAGATTGCAAATGGCATGCGCTTTCTAGAGGAGCAAGAGATTACACATCGGTAAGTATTATTATTACCAAACCAAAATGAAAATAAATCAGACAACTAAAAGTGCTCTAGTCGGGCGAGCTCGACTAAGGGATACTCTGAGCCAATATATGTACATACATATATACTGAGAAATAGGATATATGGGATTATATATGTATATCAAGTCTCCAGCTTTGTTCTTCCCATCAACGTACTCACATAATCAGCTTAGCTCGAGTTGACTTAGCTCGACATCCTCACCTATCACATACATATATACTTAATGGGCTCTTAACCTCTTTTACCCATACGTGGGTTCATGGTACAAAAAACCAAATGCCAAGCTAGCTCAGCACGTATTTTTAGTTTTTCAGGCATATGTGTGTACGAGACATTATTTTCGTACAAAAATATCATCAAAACCCAAAACTTAATTTACGAAAATTGCAAAATGAAATTAGTTTGTGTATTTTGCAATATTATTTTACAAGTTAAGATATTAAAGTGTGCGCCCAAGCTGGAGTTTTTTTTTTTTTTTTTCTGCAAACAGTTATTAAGTGAAAAAGTAATTCCTAAACGAAAACAAAATAGTTTTGTCTGTCAGAAATAAAAGATGCATTGCTGAAAACAATTTCCGTTTTAATGGCAGGAATGCAATGTATACTTTAACCACAAATTAAATGCAAAAAATTATTAAAAAATATGTTTGAAATTTAAGTTTAGTTTCGATGCAGAGATGAAGCAGAGACGAACTCGAGGGCGAAAGTTTTAGATATAATGTTAATATATATTACTAGATCTTTGAAAATGAGTTTTAAACCGATCGGACGGTAGGCCAAATAACCACTGTTGAAATTTCCCATTTATGTAAAGCTTTAAATTTAAGTTTATAGCATATCAAGCCAAACCTTATAATAATCGGTTGAGTTTTGACCGAGTTAAGGGAGTGGGAAATTTCGACCTATGTCTATATATG